TACATATATACTGTGGCGATCAGACCATAATACAACCTTGCATTCTACAGTTTTCTCTTTACATCTATTAAAAAAACACACATTTCCCCAAGTGTATTCTTCTTCCACATCACAATTTTGGTAAATCCAGGTCAAACCTGTCCCTGATCGATTGCCCAGTGAGTGGGTGAGTTGCAGAAAAATGAACATTGTTCCTGCTCTCAAGGAGTTTACGGTCTCATGGGGAGATAAGACACTTCCATAAAACAGCCTCAGACAGCCGGTAATTACATGGAAAGACGTGAGTACAAATAACCACACACACGTGGTAAGCAGGCATTCTAGGTAGTGAAGAGCTTATCAAGGGATGAGGAACTGAGGAACTGCCCTCTCTCTTTCCACTCCCCAAGATGAGGGTTGATTTAGTTGTGATGACCAGCTTTAAAGAGGCAGAGGGAAGGGAGGGGTTCTGAATGAAGCTGTGAAACACAGAAGACAGTTAGCCTGTGAGCCGTGAGGCAATGAGCCCCACAGATACAAAAGGTGAGTTAGGTGGGGAATGGGCGGGCCAGGTATAGGAAGGTGGTGAGAATGAGGAAGAGATTTGGAGTTTCCTGAAAGCTGGGCAGAAGTAAAGCCGCTGTGACTGGGATGCTGGAGGGGTCTGTAGCCACATTGGTGCCGAGTTGCATTGGTCTGGCAGGTGTGGTTCTCCTTTTGAAATGAAGAGAATCTATCCAGCCCAGCAGGAATGGTTCAGTGGTCGAGCATCAACCTATATGAACCAGGAGGTCACAGTTCAATTGCTGGTCAGGGCATATGCCTGGGTTGTGGGCTCCATCCCCAGTGTGGGGCGTGCAGGAGGCAGCCAATCAATGATTCTCTCTCATCATCGATGTTTCTATCACTTTCCTCCTCTCTGAAATCAATAAAAATATATGTTTGAGACAACAGAGGATCTATCCATCTAAATGTCTCCAGGAGATCAGGGAAGATGCTGACGAGCAGGAAGTCAAAGGGGAGGAGGCCACAGGCCTTGGGAAGGAATGCGCCCCGGGAATAAACACGCAAGTCACATCCAGACCTTGTCCCTCTGGTTCACTGCTCTGGTCCTGCCCAGAACAGCGCTGGGTGCAGAAGGAATCCTTGCAAGAGTCTGTTGAATGAGAGCTAGGTCAAGGCTAATCTTGCACAATGTCTGTACCAAGTTCAGCAATTCTTTATTTTTTTCTCTTTGTCACCTCCCTGTGATGCAGTTATTTTTTTTTCCTTTCTTTCTTTCTTTCTTTCTTTCTTTCTTTCTTTCTTTCTTTCTTTCTTTCTTTCTTTCTTTCAAAAATTATACTTTTTTGATTTTTTATAGAGAGGAAGGGATAGGGGTAGAGAGTTAGAAACATTGATGAGAGAGAAACATCGATCAGCTGCCTCCTTCCTGCACACCCCTCAAGCAAGGTACATGCACCTGATCGGAATCGAACCTGGGACCCGTCAGTCCGCAAACCAACGTTCTATGCACTGAGCAACACCAGCCAGGGCATGGAGTTATTTTTTCAAATGCACATGACGGTCTTTTAGAGCCAGGCCAAGCCAGGAGGCCATGTGAGTCTCAGGAGCTAATAATCCTGAGCCTCACTGTGGCCCAGGAGGATTAACACTCGGGGTGGATGACTTGCGATCCCAGATCCCAGTTAGTCATCTGGCAGCTGCCTCTTGCCGCCCCTCCCTCAGTGCCTGGGCCTGAGCCTCTCTGGGGTGGTAAGAGGATATTGCCTAGAATCATTAATTATTTCTGCTGGAAGGCGGCTTACACAACAGCACATGCGCCCTCGCCATGAGGCAGATGAACTGAGGCCTCAGGGAGTGAAGCTGATTCAAAACACGCGGTTTCCTGGACCAGCTCCGAGTCCAGCCTCATTCATGCAAGAATTTCACAAATATTACTGAGGGTGGGCTGTGGTCAGGCCCCGTTTCAGGGCTGGGGATACAGCAGAGAGCAAACAGACAAAACTGCTGAGACCAACAATGAGCGAGATGAGGTGGATGGTGAGAGGGGCTGAGGAAAAGGCAGGGGGGATTGAGATGGGGGTGGGGTTGCATTTTAGAGCTGGTGATCAAGGAAGGCCTCAGGGAAAACGTGAATAAGAACAAAGCGCTGAATCGGACGTGGGAGGGAGCATGGAGTGGTGCAGGGGTCCAGCGACAGGAGAGGCCCGAGCCCCGCTGCGGCCCATAGGATTAATAGAAACAGAGTGAGAGGAGAATAAGAGCAAACGGGGCCTGAGGCATACAGAGGCTGAGGGTCTCGGAGTCTGCTGTGAAGCCTTTGGCTCTGTCCTTCCCTGCCTTCGTCCAATCCATAACCCTGCCTTTTCCTGGGGGCTCTCAAGGCCGCTGGACTTCTGTGGCAGGAGAGAGAATGTGGCAGTCAGCAGGGCGCTCCAAAGCTCATAGCAGTGGTGTGGGCAGCTGCCTGGGCCACCTGTGCCGGGCCCGCCCCCACACCCCCGCACCCCTGCTCCAGAGGTCTTTCAGGCGGACAGGACACGGTGGCCGCCCGTCTCAGGACCGGGAGAAAGAGCGCCCATGCAGAGCCAAGCCGAATCAGTTGAGCATGGAGATTCTGCAAAATATCCGAGGAGCAAGCTCATCGCCGAAGCCGGTGCAAAGGGCAGGGCCAGAGTTCAGCAGCATTCCTGCCTTGGCTGAGTGGAGAGTAGAACCAGAGATATTGACGTACAAGGGCCTGGCAAGCAGTGATGTCCTAATGGCGATCTGTTTTGTTCATTCAGGCTTGTGATTCTTCGTGTCCCCTGCTTCCCGCCAGTGCTCTGTGCTCAGAGGAAGGAGGCCTCTGCTCTGGCTGGTGTGGATGCCAGGCCCTGGGTGGGCAGTGAGGCAGCTGGTTGATGAGCACTGTGTGTGTGTGTGTGTGTGTGTGTGTGTGTGTGTGTTTAGAACTGTTAAGTACCCTTTATTGATATTATACAGAAACCACACTAAATTGCCTTTCATTCAGTAAAAGGCAACAGTGTAGATACAGGGAATTTTATTAAGTTGGCATAGCCGGGACCCAAGAGATGACATGGTCCTTGCCAGCTCATCAGCAGCTCTTCCTTTGAACAGGCTGATGAGCACAGCTGGAAACACGAGCAAGTCTTGCATGTCTAAGAGACAGGGAAGGGATTTCCTCAGAATGTAAACATATTAACACAACCAGTCACATCAACCTAAATATCAGCCAATCTCCTTTAGGTTCTGCGAGGGCACTCGCCACTTCTGTGAGAAGTTGAACACTAAGAATCTAGTTCAACCATAGTTTTAGGAGGGGGGACAGCGACAGTGCTTGCTGAACCAACATTATCACCAAAGCTCAAAAAGCTGAACTTATTATTCATTCAACCACAAGCCAATCTTATTTAAATTAGGACCGGCCGAAAGAAATGTTAATGAGTCATTTATGATCCGAATTCTGGTGTATGAGGTCAATTTAAATATAGTAACATAAAAAAAAGTCATGAGACCTTTGTAATAAATAAGGCAGTGGCCATCTATTATGCAATAGTAGCTTTTTTGAGATAACCTATCAAGTCTGCCCTTTCTGCACTCGTCTTAACGCTGGTGAAGATCATTTCTGTTCCAGGATGTATTTCCTGGGATTCTCCAAACACTCCACCAGTGTAGCCTCTCCCCAGGGGGTACCTTTGTTCTTGTTGGCATCCGTGTAAGAAAATCCAGGGGCCTGGCCTGTCTTTCACAAAAAGAGACCATGGTGATTTGGCCCAGTCTTGTGCTTGCCTCCCTTTCCACAGTATGGCACTGGGCACACTTCTGAACAAAAATCTTTTTGCCCTTCTCAACATCACCCATTTTTATTTATTTATTTTAAAATATATTTATTGAATTTTACAGAAAGGAAGGGAGAGGGATAGAGAGTTAGAAACATTGATGAGAGAGAATCATCGATCAGCTGCCTCTTGCACACCCCCTTCTTGGGGATGTGCCTGCAACCAAGGTACATGCCCTTGACCAGAATCAAACCTGGGACCCTCGAGTCTGCAGGCTGATGCTCTATCCACTGAGCCAAACCGGTTAGGGCTTAACATCACCCATTTTTAAATCACTTGTTAGTCGTGCATGACATGGAGAACCCCACTCGCAAGCCTGATGTCCCGCTCTCTAACAGCACTGTGGTTTTAGAGCAAGTTCCTGCCGCCAAGGGCTCCTACCCACTTCCCTAGACACCTCAACCTCTCCTGGTGGCCAGGCCCCTCCTCTCTGCGGGTGGCCTGAGAAGGGTCTGGATGGAGCCAGAATCCAGGGCCATGCCACTGTCAGAGTTTGGTCGAGTAAGACTTGAACTCGGCTCTGGTGGTGATCCTCAATGTGCCCCTCTCCCGCCCCCAAGACGGTCCAGTTCAGCGTTAAAGTCAACTCAATTTCACGATCACTTGTAATTTTCCGGCTGCCAGACACTCGATCTGTTGCAGGAATACTAAGATTGAAAAGGCATGAACCCAGGCCCTGGCCAGGTAGCTCCGTTGGTTAGAGTGTCATCCTGATACGCCAAGTGTCATCCATCTCTCCCCACTCCTCTGTCTGTTGAATCAATCAATAAAAATGTTGTTAAAGCCAAAACTGGTTTGGATCAGTGGATAAAGCGTCAGCCTTTGGACTGAGGGGTCCCAGGTTCGATTCCAGTCAAGGGCATGTACCTTGGTTGCGGGCACATCCCCAGTGGGGTGTGTGCAGGGGGCGGCTGATCGGTAATTCTCTGTCATCATTGATGTTTCTAGCTCTCTCTCCCTCTCCCTTCCTCTCTGAAATCAATAAAAATATATTTTTAAAAAAATGTTGTTAAAAAGGCATGAACCTTCCCTCCTGGGATTTTGAATCTCTTGTATGTGTATGGTGGTGGTTATAGTGGTGGAGAAAGGTGTATGTGTGTGTGTGTGTGTGTGTGTGTGTTAGCTCACACATGCTTGCGGGAGGCATCATGAGATACCAGTAGGAAGAATCCTGAACTAGAGTGCAATGGCCGCCTCCCACGTCCCCGTGGCCCCTGGGTCTGCCACTTGTCTTCTCGGAGCCTTGGCTTCCACGGCTGTTCTGCACAGGCGGCAGCGGACACCCGATCGGCCAGCCGCATGCCGCTGATCCCAGTGAGGTCCTCCTTGGTGAACACAAGCCCACATTCCCCAGATAGCAGGCAGAGTTTCTCCAGAGCTGGGCTTTTTTCCAGATGTCCTTGTGCACGGCCTCCCTCGGAGGGACATGCGGATTTGCTGCCTCTGCTTGGAGCCCACACCGGCTGCTCCCACAGGGAAGCATTTGGATAATCCTCTGGAAGGTGGAAGATCTTAAGGAAGTAGTTGGACCTCGAGGTCACCCTGTTTCCCTGGGCAGCATGGCGGTGCGTCAGGGGTGGCCGCACAGGGTTTAAAACTGTCCCTCTCCTGAGGATGCCTGACTAGAGGAGGGCCTGCCATGGCTTTTCTAACAAAAAAAATAAACATTTCTAAAATTACCCACACTTAATTTTTAATGTGGGAGATAGTGACAGATATAACCCCCATAAACAAAACTCCTTAGGGTTCTCAGTAATGTTTAGAGTATACAGGGGCCCTAACCTCCCACACTTTGGAACTGCCCATCTAGGGAGAGGAGTCACAGCGGGGAGAAAGAGGAAGGGACCATGGTAGGCAGCTATGGAGATTTCCAAGCAAAGTGACTAAGGTGCCGCCTGCTTTCTTTTTGTTACTTACAGTAAAACACAGGAGGAGAGAGATCAGTTGAGGGAAGGACTATTAAACAAAAAGGACCTGGGCTGTGATGGTTTTATAAATGCTCAGCCTCTCCAGAGGAGAAGATGCTAAAACTAAGGAATGATTTCTGAGAAAGGTTTAAACCCAAGGTGCAGTTCCAACAGTGACCTACAGATAGAGCAGATGGTGTGACTGTCTTTTGATAAGACCCAGAAATAGCAATGGTAGAACCTTGTAGTAGCATTCAGACACTCAAAGAACCCCTTTGAAGGCTACTAGCTTTACAAATTCTCTCAATCAAACTGAAGGACCCCTAAGAAACTTAGGGCACTATCCCTTTGCCTGTCTCAGTAGGGAGCCCAGGAAAAGAGCTTATCTCACAGAGATTTGTGGGTGTAGCTTTTGGCTAGCGGGGTGAACCTTAGTTAGAATCATATGAGACCCTCTAAGTTTCTGTGAGGATGACATCAGCAGAGACAGTGCCAATTTGGACGGAAAGGGACAGAGACAGTATAGTACACACTGGGAAAAGGCCATTGGAGCTCCAACATTCTACTGGCGGGAGCTGAGAAAACTACTCAACTACAAACACATGTGCTACCTTTTACAAAGAAGAAAGGCCCAGATGGCAAAACCTAGAACCATGGAGAATCTTTCCTAGTCGTTGAAAGCTAATGAAGTCACTTCCAGCATCTGTGTGGATGGGTTTTGGAATTGCTTTGAAGCTTTCTCAGACTTCTATGAGGCTCCCACTCCCCCATTTTTGAGAGGAATGTCGACAGCATTTATCCAATGCCTGTTCCACTCGTGTGTGTATATATATATTCATGTGTAACATGTCTAGTTCCACAGATCCACGGACTGAGAGGAAGAGCTTTCAAAGAATTATACTGGGGCCTGGCCAGCACCTGGTTCTGGTTTAAATAACAGTTCTGATATTGCACTAATGCTGCAATGGGATGCGGCTTCTGAGGACCTGGGGAGGAACGAATGTATTGTGCACGTGAGCGGGGATGTGAATCGTTGGGTCCAGGGGGAAACTGAGGTAGGCCGCTTCCAAGGTGGCTCCCAGAGATCCCCACCTTCTGGTTCCCAGGCTTTGTGTAACCCCTTCTTTTAGAGTGGACCGAGGAACCTCATTGTACTGAATAGTATATGGACATGTCCTTGTAAGACCGTAAATGTTCGTGTGTGTTTTTATTGTGGTACAATATACATAACATGAAATTTACCATTTTAACTGTTTTTTTTAGGCCTACAGTTCATCGGCATTAAGTGAGTCCACATTATGCAATCATTAGGTCATTAGTACCACCCATCTCCAGACGGTTTGCATTTTCTCAAACTGAAACTTACACATTAAACTCTACCTCCCTATTTCTCTCCCTTCCCAGGCAACCACTGGTGAGAGGAAGTACTTTCAAGGAACTATATGAGGGGCCTGATCCACACCTGGTCCTGGTTTAAATAATGAATTTCTGGGTATTGAACTAATGCTGTAATGGATGCAGCTTTTGAGGACCTTGGGAGGTTACCAGTCCCTGGCAACCTCTATTCTACTGTCTGTTCCTGTGAAAATAACTTCTCTAAGTATCTCATGTATGTGGAATCATGTGATATTTGCCCTTTTGTGACTAGCTTATTTCACTTTGCAAAATGTCTTCAAGGTTTCTGAAGGCTGCTTGCTCGCTTTACAGATTCCCAAGTTGTGTCAGAATTTCCTTCCTTTAAAAATTTTTTTTGAATTCATTTTTAGAGAGGAAGAGGGAGAGAGAAACATCGATGTGAGAGCAGAACATCAATTGACTGCCTCCTGCACAATCCCTACTGGAAATCGAGTCTACAACCTGGGCATGTGCCCTGACTGGGAATTGAACCAGCAAACTTTTGGTGCATGGGACAATGCCCAACCAACTGAGCCACACCAGTCAGGCCAGAATTGTCTTCCTTTGTAAGGTTGAATAATATTCCATTGTATGTATATACATTGTGTGTATATTTCATTGTATGTACATCTTGTTTATCCATTCATCCATTGATGGACACCAGGATGCTTCCACTTTCTGGATATTATGGATAATGCTGCTATGATCATAGGTGTACAAGTATCTCTCTCTTTTTTTATAAGTTATTTTTTTTAAAATATATTTTATTGATATTTTTAAAAAAATATATTTTATTGATTTTGTACAGAGAGGAAGGGAGAGAGGTAGAGAGTTAGAAACATCGAGAGTCATCGATCAGCTGCCTCTTGCACACCCCCTACTGGGGATATGCCGCAACCAAGGCACATGCCCTTGACCGGAATTGAACCCGAGACCCTTCAGTCCCCAAGCCGATGCTCTATTCATTGAGCAAAACCGGTTTCGGCTTTATTGATATTTTTACAGAGAGGAAGGGAGAAGGATAGAGAGTTAGAAACATCAATGAGAGAGTAACATTGATCAGTTGCCTCCTGCACAACCCCCTCTGGGGATATGCCTGCAACCAAGTAAATGAATGCCCTTGATCGGAATCAAACCTAGGACCCTTCAGTCTGAAGGTTTGACTCTTTATCCACTGAGTCAAACCAGCTAGGGCAAGTATCTCTTTAGTGAGCCTTTGCTTTCAGTTCTTTTGGGTACATACCTGGAAATGTTTGTTGTTTTAAGCCACTAAATTTGGGGGTAATTTGTTACATAGCAACAAATAACTAATAAAGGAGTAGATTTGAGAGATATCACAAACAGAAATGTCTTTTTACCCCATTTTATCATGAAAATTTCCTATGTATAGAAAAATTGAAAGAACTTATCAATGAATATCCATATACCATGACATAGATTAAACTATTACTAGTTTGCTATATTTACTTTTAAATTAGGTTAAATAACATATAACATCTATTTTTAGAGGTTAAAATTAATATAATATTGGCAAAAATCATATGGTTCAATTTTATATCTTTTTATATTTTCATGGACCATTTGAAAATATATTGCAAACTTCATTATATTCATATATAAATACTTAAGCATCTCCTAAAAATTAAAATATTCTTCTCTATTAAAAAACTACACCATTATTACATCTAAGAAAATTAATCTAATATCATCTAAGGAAATTTCATAAAATTTTATATCTATACTAGAGGCCCAGTGCTTGAAATTCTTGCATGGGTAGGGTCCCTAGGCCTGGCCAGTGATCAGGGCTGTGGTGGTTAGTGCACATCACAGCAAGTAGTTGAACTCCCAAGGGGACAATTTGCATATTAGCCTTTTATTATATAAGATTCCCAAATCAGATTTCTTTGGCAGTGCCTAAAATGTGTTCTGTAGCTGGATTCTGAACTAGAAAATATGGTTCATACATTGCATTCATTATTAGATCTTTTTGGTCTCAGAGACATTATTTCTGTGTGTGTGCTTGTGTGTGTATGTTGGTGAATAGATGTGTTCTTTAGATTCTCTAAGTGGTGATACACCAAAGGCTGAGAACTAGTGATGTAAAAGTAGTAGATGATTGACTTAAAGTCAAAACACCATGACTGAGCAACAGTCCACTAGAAGGCTGGTTTGGGGGTGACTAGCATAGCTTTAGACAAGTAATATAATCTCTTTGTCTCTAATTTGTGAATAATAAGATTGGTCCATCAACCTCAATGGGAAGGTACATGTGAAAATACGTTCCACCTCAGAGATGGTACAGAGACCATCCAAATCTATGCCAATGTTAGTTTCTAAGGTACAGGGAATTCAAGTTTCTGAGACCTTTGCACTCTGACCTCTACCCATGCTACTGGGAGGAGAGAAAGTGTGAAGTCACAGGCTGGTGTTATTCATTTCTTCTTCTAGTCACACTCTGGGTGATGGAACTTGGAGAGAAGACAAAGTGTGGGTTCATGCTTTGAGTGGGGTAATATCTGCACGTCCACACATGGTTGCTCTTGCCTTGTCTGGTTGAGGGCCTGCCTGGCAGCCTGGCTAGAGTCCTGCCTAGAAATGGGATAGAATGGGAATAGCCCAGGGCTTGGTACTTACTCCCCATGGAGTGCCTTCCCAGGACTTAAGTTCTCTCTCTCCCATGGGTAACTTGCACAAGTTACTTAAATATCCTTCCCTCGAGAAATGGTATTCTTTTTTTTTTTTTTAATATATATTTTATTGATTTTTTACAGAGAGGAAGGGAGAGAGATAGAGAGCTAGAAACGTCGATGAGAGAGAAACACCAACCAGCTGCCTCTTGCACACCCCCCACCGGGGATGTGCCCGCAACCAATGCACATGCCCCTGACCGGAATCGAACCCGGGACCCTTCAGTCCGCAGACCGAAGCTCCACCACTGAGCCAAACCGGTTTCGGCAGAGAAATGGTATTCTTACTTCTCTATGCTGCTTTCAGAGACCCTGGGATGCGTGGTATTTAGGAAGGCTGGGTGAGGGGAAGGGACCAGAATCAGGACGCAGCCTTCCTTGGCCAACGGTTTCAAGTGAGTAAGGTGAAAATGATGAATGCCATGTGGCCCTCGAAAAC